AAGTAGAGACCGACTTTTTCGCCATAGTAGTCCTTGATGTCGTTGTACGGCTGGTTCCACGGCGCACTCGACCTAGCACCGGCAGTGCGTCAGTGGTTAGGGTTCGGAAAAATGTTGTCAATACCAGCTGATCCACTTTTCGTTGAGCTTGTCGCGCTCGTCAAAGTCGTGGAGCGGAAAGCTCGAGACGAGGCACTTCTTCATCTCGAGCATCTGCGTGTTGAGATGGCAGCCCCCGTCGCTCGTGTGGGCATGAATGATCGAGTTAATGAGCTTGATGCGGTCAACGCCGCGGAACGGAATCTGCTTGCCAACCGGACCGTACTTCTTATAGACCGGTTGGAGCCGTTCGTCCATATCGTACTAGACAATGTGTCCATACGTCGTCCACGACCTTTCCGGCTTGTACCTTGCCAAAGATGTTTTGATACGGCCCGCGGGATGTCAGATCGCACTCTTCCGCAATTGTGATGGGGGCAATGCTGTGGTCGGGGTTGCCGGCCTCGGCCAGCTCTTTGAGCGCCTTGGGGTCGAACTCGAGCTTGAGGTCGATGCGGTCGGCTTCCTTGCAGAGCCGCTGGAGGGACGCGCGGATCTATTGTCAAATGTATACATACAATATTGTCATACAGTATAGAAAGATATTACCTTGCAGAAGACGAGATCGCGCGACGACGAGTAAAAGAGCTTGGTCTCGAGACCGGCGCCCGCGAGCCGCTGGAGGATGAGGCGCATCGAGAACAGTGTCTGCGCCTCCGTGAGCGTGCTCTCCTCGTCGTGGACCTTGAAGACAAACACGTAGTCGTAGTTATAGCCGTGCCGCTCCTTGAACTTGTCGAGCGGCCAGTTCTTCACCTGGAGCGTCACGTCCGGCGACGCCGCCGTGCGCGGTGCTGCTTTCATTGGCGCTAATTTTCGACTGGAAGAAAAATGCCGACGCCCACAAACCCGTGGTTCGAACAACTGAATAATCTTCGATTCTAATAATCGAGTGTTACCAAGCTCTAAATCATGCATCATACGCAGTTGCCGCCCGTTGCTTAGGTGACGTAGGCCAAGCCAAGAGCCAAAACAAGCAGCAGGTTGAACCACGGTGTACAGAATGCACCCGCGTTCTTGGTCGCAGTTGGCCGCGGCGTCGTCGTCGTTGGTCCCGGCGTCGCCGTCGTTGATCCCGGCGGCGCACTTGTGCTCGATGTCGGTGTCGGGGACGGTGTGTTATAAAAACTCGGTGGCAACGGGTTGCTCGTCGCTGCTGGCGCCACGTAGCTGCTCGCATAGTCCGGTGGCGCCGACCCGTTCAAGAGCGCAAACTGCGGCGTGTCGCACACCGTCCCTTCAAAGTTGGAGCTGCACACGCACGCCCCCTATGGACGACGCGTCCGAGTTCAGACACCTTGTCGTTTCGATCGACAAGAGCATACCTGCACGCAGAGACCGTTGTTGGAGCACGGCCGACCGGACGCGTCGACAGGACAGTAGTAGTTGCTGCAGTCGACGCCGGTAAACCCAGCGTTGCAATAGCACGCGTTCTGGTAGCACGTGCCTTGGCCCGAACAGCCATTCGGACACCCGCTAGTGCACAACGCGCCGCTGTAGCCGCACTGGCACACGCACTCGGCGACACTTGTCGTCGCGTTGAAGACGCAGAGACTGGTGTTGGCGCCGCAGCTCAGGGAACAGCGCGGGTTTGCGTACGCGGCCGCCGCGCGCCGCACCGCAAAGTACACGCCGTTCTGTCTCGCAGTGAAGCACACTTGGGTGCTGTCAACCAACCCAAACGTCGTGAGGTTGAGCGGCTGCATCGTCGCCGCGTCGGTGAGCAACGCGACGTCGATCGTGTCAAAGGCCGGCCACTGCCGCACCGTCGGGTCGA